GCGGAGGAGAGCAGAGCAGAGCAGAGACCCAGGACACTCGGTGATATTTAACTATGTAGAGGTCTAATGAATACAAAATAACATAAAACATAACCATAAACTTACATACATATATCTATGTATGTATGTATGTATGTATATATCTACACACACATACATGATATTTACAAAGTGGGTTCACACAGGCAATAGCACTTTTAACCCTGTACTCAGGCACAGGCCTATCCTCTGTGGCCTTCTGATTAGTCTGCAATGGCCCCTCTAGGCAGCAGGCAAAGGAACACTTTATAATAAAACACAGATTCATTAATAAATCAACAACAGAAATAGCTGGCAGTGATGGCACAGTAATGAAACATACATAATCAGGTTACATCAGAAGAGTCACAAACATGTACAAATAACCAACACAATGAATTAAAATATAAAACAGCTTTCAATCCTTTCCTAATAGAACAATAAGGATGTGGGTTACATCAAGAATCCTAACGACATGAAAAACCAGAACACCACAATGGCACAGCAGATATGCCTAAAGGAGAAATGATAACCCAAGGAGAGATCCTGTTACCTAATAGCACATCACTACCCTCTCCCAGGTCACTCAACTAGGAAGGAGCCTGTAACCTTGAAACCACCCTCTCAAGGGCTTCTCATTGATCACCGCAGTGAGGAAGGTCCCTCCTCCCCTGTGGGAATCCCTTTCCCTGGGAAACTTATGACTCTGTGTCCTCCCTTGCAGGGGGGTTGTCCCATCCAGTCACTGTTCATGGCAGGAAGGCCCGGGCTAACTCATGCAGCCACCAGGGCCTGTCAGTCCTCTTTCAGCCCCATGCACTGGTCTGTGCACCGAGGGCTTCTTCCCTCTGCAGGGTTGGAGACCTGCACTGCCTCATGTAGCCGCTGGGTTCCTTTCAGCTCTACTAGCCCCATGCACCGCTCTGTGCACTGAAGGGGCCTCGGCTCCTGCCTCATGCAGGGTTGGAGACCCGCACTGCTTCATGCAGCTGCTGGGTCCAGTCCGCTCTCAGACCCTCACCCGCCCTGTGCACTGACCTGTGCATCAAGGGCTCCTGCCTCATGCAGGGTTGGGGACAGGCGCTGCCTTGTGCAGCTGCCTAGGTCCCCTCAGCTCTCCACCAGCTCCATGCATTGCTCTGTGCACCGAAGGGGCCGGATTCCTGCCTTGTGTAGGATTGGGGACCTGTGCTGCCTCGTGCAGCCACCGAGGTCCTGTCCACACTCTGGACCACCCATACACTGACCCGTGCACCATTGCTGCTCTCTTCCTGCGGCAGCTAGGATGCAGCCACCTGTTGCTGCTTCAGGGCGCTTCTGGGGCAACTACTCCACCCCTGCTGGTCAGTAAAACCAGCTCTTCAACAGCCCTGGTCTTCATAGTCCTTTGTCAAAAAGCTCCTGTGTGTTGGGCATGCTGGCTTTTTATTCATTCTGGAGGCTCTGCCCCCGGATTGAGAGCAGACCAATAGGAAAGCCTGTGGGGTTAGTTCCTTTTCAGGTCCTCTCTTTCACCTTGCCTCTGGGTCAGGGCAGGGCTGCCTTCCCTTGACTGGTGGGGAAGGAAAAACTGTCTCCTCCAATGGAGCCCCAGCCCTTTGGACTCAAGCTAACAGTCTGGGCTGCCAGTGAGGCCACTGGCCAGCCTGTCACATAATGGAACATTTTTAATGATTTTTTAAAATTAATTTCTACCTTTGTAGAGGAAGAACTGAGTGAATTAGCAGAAAAGCGAAATCTAGAACATCTGCAGGAAGTACAGGCTCTTGCAGCTTGCCAGCCATGCAGTGTCAATGGTAAGTACAGAGTTAGCATCAGTGGTCCATTCGTGCCCCTACCCGTGCATCAGGTTAGTGCGGTAAAGCCATGCCAGTGCTTGTAACCAACAGCACACAATGGAGTGATGTGGCGTGTACCATGTCTGGCTGCCTTTAACTCCCCAGTACAAATGATCAGGTGCCCTGTACCAGGGAACCAGAGGCTCCTGCTATTTTAAAAAGGAAAGTGTAAGAGGGAGGTCCTCAAGTAAATGCAGGCTCTAGATACTACTCAGAAGCTAGCTGTGGAGCACTAGACCAATAGGACAGAGCTCCAGGAAGGTAGGATTGAAACAAAGACAGCTTAGCTAGGAAAACAGCAACAGGCTGTTCATGAACCTGAGAGCAGTAGTGGTCTTGATGTGAGGAACTTGTGTGTGTCATAAAGGATACTGCAACCAGCAGTGTGGAGACTTTGTACCAGCTTCTTAGATCTAGTTGTGTGATGTATCAGCTAGCCGAACCCAACATATCTTAAAGTTAGCTTTTTGACCCTTAATTGCAGGTAAATCAAATCCTGACATATATTTAGTACATTTCTGTCTAGATCTTATCTTGCACACAACTTTCAACATCTAAGTCATCACTGCCTAGGAAATGACCTGCTTGGAGACACGGAAGCGGAAAGGGATCTTGGAGTCCTAGTGGACTCCAAGATGAACATGAGTTGGCAGTGTGACGAAGCCATCAGACAAACTAATGGCACTTTATCGGTCATCAGCAGATGCATGACGAACAGATCCAAGGAGGTGATACTTCCCCTCTATTGGGCGCTGGTCAGACCGCAGCTGGAGTACTGCGTGCAGTTTTGGGCGCCGCACTTCAAGAGGGATGTGGATAACCTGGAGAGGGTCCAGAGAAGGGCCACTCGCATGGTTAAGGGTTTGCAGGCCAAGCCCTATGAGGAGAGACTGGGGCACCTGGACCTCTTTAGCTTCTGTAAGAGAAGGTTGAGAGGCGACCTTGTGGCTGCCTATAAGTTCATCACGGGGGCACAGAAGGGAATTGGTGAGGGTTTATTCACCAAGGCGCCCCCCAGGGGTTACAAGAAATATTGGCCACAAGCTAGCAGAGAGCAGATTTAGACTGGACATTAGGAAGAACTTCTTCACAGTTCGAGTGGCCAAGGTCTGGAACGGGCTCCCAAGGGAGGTGGTGCTCTCCCCTACCCTGGGGGTATTCAAGAGGAGGTTAGATAAGCATCTAGCTGGGGTCATCTGAACCCAGCACACTTTCCTGCTTATGCAGGGGGTCGGACTCGATGATCTATTGAGGTCCCTTCCGACCCTAGCATCCATGAATCATTTTCATTTTCCAAAATTGATCAGCTCAATGTGTAAAAGCTATTAGAAATGCATTTTTGGGCTTGCTCTTCATTCAAGTTGCTGTATCCCTATAACTTTCAAATCTGCTTTGATCTTGAGAGCAGCATAGTACAAGTTTCATGTGTCTGAAAACTTTTTTCTGAACTGCAGGCCAATAGTTTCCTCATCATTTATATACATAGTTACAACTACTTGTACAGATTTACCAGTAGTCACAGTTCAGAAGACAAGGAATGGAACATGGGCATTTTTTGGCTGCTGAAACTGAATGACAGTCTTGTAGTAAGTCTGAAGTTCTTGCTTCATTTGCTTCAGTTGCTGGAGGATGTTCATCACCACCATCTTCTACTGAATCACAATATCTTTCAAGTATATCTTTCAGACTGTACACACTTCTCTGCGCAGAACTAATATCTAGTTCATCAATTATTTGATGCCATGCTCTTGCTTCAGGAGAAAGAAGAATATTTTCTTACACAATATTCACATTTGAATGGGAATGAGAGACTTGTTGCTTTCGTTGTTCCTCTCATCTGCATTCAGGATGGTAGTATGCCTAGGCAGCTATTAGATCTTTGACACCAATTTGGCAACATTCTTCCCTGCCAGCTTGTGTATTGCACTGACTGATTCAAATGACAACACTTGACTCATTTTCTTCTTATTAGAACATTTCTGTCAGGAAATGCACACCCTCCAGTGAACTGCTGGAATAGATGATCTTCTGGATGTCCTGTGTTCTTTACTTGATGTTGTTGGTAGGGTTTCCCTTTCATTTTCTGTCTTGCATGACTTTCTTAATAGTCTCTCTCTGTCCTGTGTGTGTAAAAGAACTGTGGTAAGAATGATGCCAGGCGAGGCTTTTGGAATGTTGCAGTGCAAGATCAACACAGTGTGATAGTCTGTCAAGAATACTGCCATAACAAGTGTCAAATTCAGCAACTGTCCTACATTGAACAAGTGCCTCATTTATTCATGCAATTCCAGCAGGTGTACTTTGACTAATCTCTGACTGCAAACCTACTTGAGACATATGGCGCATCTTGTAGATTCTGAGTTCTACCTCCCGTGCTTTGCTAGGCTCATTGATGCTATCGGCTCCATTGTAATGTTTGCCTAAGGGTGAATCTCTTGTTGACGATTGCTATTGCAGGTTTTCATGTTAAGGTAATTTGAAATGGAACATAACTGATGTAGCAATTTTGCAAAACTTTTGGGTATCTAATAATGAAGAAAGCTGTAAATTCACAGCAGCTGTCTTGGAATCCAATATGACTACCACAACAGAAGTGTTATGATTAATCCCCTTTGTTCGTGCAATATTGGCTTTGTTATTGGAATTAAGTGGGGGCTGAAATATTGACCAAAATGTAAATTCATGGGAGCCATCCTGGTTTCCAATATGTCAGCTACTTGCACCACTTGCCAGAATGGCAGTGTGACTTTTCTGACACAGGTAGACCATCTATATCTGAAACACAGTGTTGCCACTTGTGGTATTGAGTTGCCTATGAGGTGAGACCTTTACCCTTCTTTTTTACCCTACTGTGGTGCTACAGACAGCCTGTACTTCTGCACACAAAATTTGTAGCGTTGCACAGGTGTTTGTACTGCTATATGTATAACCTGCTCACAGCCTGAGGAACACCTGAGCTTCTAGTTCTGTTAGCATCTTCTTCAGCCTAGCATAGTTATCCTTTATCCTTGTCAGCTAGTACCTGGCCATAGATAGATAAACATGAGCTTCTATAATGCTATAATTGAAGAAAACCTAACACAATCCTTGTATTTCTAGTAGAAATGAGGAGTTGTTATTACCTCTATATGTAGTTTTTTTCTTTGCCTTACGGAATGTGGCAATTAAAGGCAAGCAAAGTAACACCCAGTTTTTAATCAAATTTAATTAGAGTTGGATGTCTAAGGGCCCTGACAGATGTTCATTTAAAGGTGTGATGGGATCCAATCTCCAGTCCCTATCAGTTGTGCTTTCTGCCATGCCACACATGGATGACAGGATATACGATTTTATGATCAGGGATCAGATCCCAATCACATCATGCTGCCCAGTGGGAAAGCTGAAAGCCAGGGAGGGGCATTTATACACATCAAATGATGTTAAAGCACCCTCACTGCCATTTTTCAACATGGGGATGCTGATGCATGAGATGCTGGAGTCTGCTGGAGTGTGGTAATTACCACGCTCCAGCAGATTTGATTAATCGAGTTTGCTCTGATGCACTGTAGTTACAGTGCATTGGAGCATCCTCGCTGCACATGTGTAGGCGCCCCAGGTGCCCAAGATTCATTTGATTGTTAGCTTGGCCACAGGACCACACTGGGGTCTGGAATGAGCCCCAGTGTAGTCACGCCTGGTTGATAATTAGCAGGTTGTCAGCTGAGTCTGGTGTCTGCATTGGGCTGGTTCTGAACCTAAATGCAGTCCTGGACCCAGCAGCCAGAGCTGATGGATATGAGGTTTAAAGTCCCTGGCAGGGGAAGATGAATGTTCTCCCTGCTGCTGGGAGCCTTTGCTTCCCAGCACAGGGTTTAAAGTCTTAGCACAGGGGAGCAGAGGCTTTCCCCTAATGAGAACTTTAAACTCTGTATAGAGGGATACAGCCTGGTGCTCCTTCCCTGTTTCAGGCTGCTCAGTGAAGGTTTAAAGTCCCAGTGGGGGGCTTCCCTCCCTTCCATCACTCCTGCTGGGAGCCTCTGCTTCACAGCACTGGGCAACCCAATCAGGCCTGCCCAGCGCAGGGTTTAAAGTTCCTTGCAGAAATTGGTTCAGCTGATTATCAGCCACTAGCCACGTGTTAAATTTAAGGTGCCATATAAATGAGCCGTAAAAATGTTCTGCATTATATGTGGAACATTTAAGAGGTCATAAAATGGGGAACAAGCCATAAAAATCAGGTGCACAGGTAGCACCCTATTTATGTTGTGATTAGAGAGGGCCCTAACTCAGTTTTGCTCCTTTGAAAATCCTGTATTGCTTCTTGGTCTCTTTCAGGCTAAGGTTAAATGTTATATACCAGGGAAAGGAGAGAGGGGGCTGTAAGGGAACAGTTGCAGAAGTTGCTGTAATTTAAAATTCTGAAGCAATATCCTTAATCCTCTTCCTCTATGTCTTCCGTGACCTCCCATTGACTCTTAAAATGCCCCTGATGACATGTTTTTTTTTCTTTTCCATTGTGGAAAATTAGTGAGGAAGTACTGTTGTAGCTTTACATCAGTAAAGAGCCCTTGGACAAAGAAGATTCTCCATTGGACACCTCCAGCCAGAATAATAGTTTCTTTGTGCTTTCTGCTTGGCACAAATAATGTACCTCAGATTTTAAAGGAAATTTGAATTGCAGTTTACCTAATAATGATGTCAAGGTATTTCTGTTGTTTTGTAGAGAATGAAATGCACAATTTATCAGAAAAAAGAAGGCTTTTCCTTGCAAATCTAGAATCAGGTTGGAAAGATCTTCAGCAAGCGCATGCTCTTCTAGCTGCCCAACCAGGTAATGTCATTGGTAAGTACAGAAACAAGGTCTGATCTGTTCTGGATATTTCTCTTAGATATATAGGCCCTTGCTATTTTTTCCCTCAGTTCTCTGTCAAGCCTAAGGCTGAAAGGTTCTGAAAAACACTTCCTGGCTTTGAGATTTCACACAGACTGGTGCCCTCTCCAGTGCTGAAGAGACCAGTGCCCACCACACTGATCTCAGCCAAGATCCAGAGGCAAGCTGCCTGTCATGCAAACTCACCATCACTGTCTGTTATGACCTCCCTGTTGTTGTTGGCCAATAATAAGTCCCCAGCACAGGTTGTTTCTTCATTGGAATGCCAGTTTAGATCATCCTTTGGTACATACAATGCTGTACACATTTGTTGGGAGTTTGGCATTGACAATCCATGGCTGCCAGGATGTCCTATGATACCATTACGAATAACTTGGTCTTGGAGCTTACATTAGTACTCACTCTGAAGAATAATACTCAAAATCCTAAACCTCTGTCCATGGCCATTTTAGATTTCATCTGAATCACCATGTACAGTTAACTACTGGACTAAGAATGGGATATTCTTAAGAGCCTTCTTCTCTTGGAACAAACCTGGTACAGTCAGTACCTCAGTCCTTGGAGGACATTGGGGGTTTTCAAGAATTAATGAAGTGAGTAGGCCAGGTTCTAGAATTTTCTCAAAAGAGATACTGGAATATATTATGCCTAGAGATCTATCAAATTCATGGTGGCTGCCCCCTGATTTTGTGGATAGAACGTGGGCCCAGGCAGTCATTTTGCAGGTGGTGCATGGCAGCCCCACCTCATCCCTCTGGCTGAAGGGCCCCAGTGGCCCCGCCATTTGCTGCTGATTGGCTGCAGAGGTTGCCCATCATATGGCCTTGCCCTGACCACTGATTGGCTACAAGGGCTGTCTGTCACTGCCAATTGATGGAGCGGGGTAGGACCACATGACTTGCAGCCCTCTCAACCAATCAGTGGTGAGGGTGGAAGTGGCAGCTGTTTTGCCTTCAGCTGTTCAAATGGGCAGCCTCCCTTCCTCGCCTCACCAAGCTGCTGCAGCACACTAAGGACTGCTGGCTCCTTCTGAGGAGCAAGCAATTTCTTTTCTGTAAGTGTGTTTTTTTCTGCAGATTTTGTGGGCATTGGCCAGATTTAATGGAATCTGTGAAATCGCGAATTTGATAGGTCCCTAATTATGCTATAGTGGTTCTGTTATACCATACAGAACCTCTGAAGTTAGCCCCATGTTACCTATTAATAAAGTGACTTTGGATCCTGCAAAGATAGAATGGCAAACTCCTGCATCAAGCTATAACACCATGAAGAAGAGAGAGAAACAGTAAAGAGTGCCAGGACTAGGTCAATAAAAGGTCTTGCTTTCCACTCTGTTTCCAATCCAGAATCATGAATTCTGGCTGTCCTGGCTCATTTGATGTTAGATTCTATGATGTGATGACCTGGTGAATTTACTCTCTCTGGGGAGAAAGGAAGAACTATTGACCTTAATGTCAGATGATTAATTACTAGCAAAAATGGCATTGTAGGTATCATTTAATGCAGAAGATACATAAGTCAGATTCATAGCATTGGCAGTAATGATGTGCTTCTTTTCATGTCTTCAAGGCTCAGGCTTCCCAAAGGGGAGGTCCAGTCAATTGTGGTGGACTTTTCCTTTGAGGATATTGACCTGTTTAGCTCTAACTTGGATGAACCTTCATTGAAAACCATAAAATCTTCAAAGCCCATTATGCTTGTTTGGGGTAGTCTGTCCTTCACAGAAGCACAGATTTATGTGCCAACAAAGGTCAACTAAGTGGAGAAGTTCCTTCTCATCTGTGACCTTCAGTGCTCTACCTGTTCAGGGTGTGTCCCAGTCAGGTGAGCCCCCCATAAAGTAGCATACATTTCATAGACAAAGACATCTAGCTGCAGTTTAGACATCAACTTCTAGTTTATCTGACCTTATATAGGGAGTGTGATGGTGTGATTGGGAAATGATAACAATAAGCCTTTCTGCTCTTGCACAAATGCTTGGGTCATTTCCAGTCTATATGGGTCCAAATTTCTTTTTTAGACCTATGGGAGAGAAGGTAGGTGGGTACTGATTTTGATTACTCTAGTAGCAATAATACCCTCCTTACATTGAAGGGACTGGCTTGTATCGCTTAACTTCAGCAAGGCTGTCAAACATAACAGCCCACAGGACAATTTGGCCCCCAGTGTTGCCCCTGGGTCTCATAATTGATCCACACACCACATGAAGTGTGCATCGGACCAGCTCTGAATGCAGGGCCTGGGACATAAGCAGTGCCTGCCCCAGCCAGTCTGGGACTCCACTGCATGTGGCATCCGTGCTGGGCTCATCTGGGATGTACACTGTGCACAGTGCCTGCTGCAGCTGGTTCAGGACCTGTGCTGCATGTGATGCCTGTCATGGACTAGCCCCAGGTAAGTGTTGCATGCAGCATTGGGTCCCAGACTGGTCCAGGGTGGGTGTCACTTGGAGCACAGATCCCAGACTGGTCCAGGGCAGGTGTCATGTGCACTGGATGGAGTGTGGGGGGATGTCTGTAGACCCAGTCCAGCCTGTGGACCAGCCTCGTGTCGCTCATCCAGCCCATGTGGCCAGATGAGTTTCACCCCCCTGATTTACAGGATATTTAATTTTACATTGCCAGAAGATGTCCTTACAAATGATAGAAGATCAAGGATTTAGTCTCAGGAGTATATTTGCAGAATATCTCCATCTAGATCAGGGGTGGGCAAAATGCGGCCTGGGGGCCAGATGCAGCCTGCCAGGCCATTCTATCTGGCCTGCGGGGCCCCTAAATTTTTTTTAAAATTAATATTAATCGGCCCCTGGCTGTCTATCGTGCGGCACTCCATGGCTTGGCAAAACTCAGTAAGCGTCCCTCCGCCCAAAATAATTGCCCACCCCGATCTTGATATAGGCCTCTTTGCAAATAGAACCAACAAGATGTACTTTTATTTCTGTCCACAAGGTGGCCTTAGTCCTTTTTCCCCTCTCAGTTTATTCTTAGAATCATAAAATCATAGGGCTGGAAGGGACCCCAAAGGATCATTGGGTCCAGCCCCGTGCATGAGCAGAAAATACATCTAGGGTTAGACGACCCCAGCCAGGTGACCGTCCAGTCTTCTCTTGAAGACCTCTAGGATAGATGATTGCACCACCTCTGTGGGGAGCTTGTTCCATAGTCTGGACACTATAGTTGTAAAGACGTTTTTCCTAATATTCAGCCTGAAACTATCTTCCAGGAGTTTGTGGCCGCTGTTTCTAGTTTTCCCCCAGAGCGCCCTGGTGAACAGTTGTTCACTGAGCCCCTGATGTATGCCTCTGATATAGCAGTAAGCCACAGTCAGGTCCGTTCTCAGCCTTCTTTTCTTTAGGCTGAAGAGTGAGATTCCTCAGCCTCTCCTCGTATGGCTTGCCATGCAAGTCCCTGATCATACAAGTGGCCCTTCTCTGGACCCTCTTGAGCTTTAGCACGTCCTTGTTGAAGTGTGGCACCCAGAACTGGATGCAGTACTCCAGCTGCGGCTGCACCAATGTTGAGTAAAGTGGGGGAATCACTTCTCTGGATTTACTGGAGATGCATCGATTGATGCATGCCAGAGTTTTATTGGCCCTAGCGGCTACTGCGTCACATTGCTGGCTCATATTCATGCTGGCTTATATTCATGCTTATATTCATGTTACCCCCAGATCCCTTTCATTTGTAGTGCTGGTCAGGTTAGCGATGCCCAGCCTATAGGTGTGCTGGGAGTACTTCCTTCCCAGATGCAGCACTTTGTATGTCTCTATATTGAACCTCATCTGGTTCCATTCTGCCCAACATGCCAGCCTGTCTAGGTCTGCTTGTATCTGCAGCCTATCTGTGGGTGTGTCCACACAACCCCATATCTTGGTGTCGTCCGTGAACTTGGTCAATGGGCTTTTTACCCCCCTCATCCAGGTTGTTGAAGAAGATATTGAACAGTACTGGGCCAGGTATTGCCACTGCCCACATCTTGCCAGGACAACACTGTTCCATTCATTTGGACTCTCTGCATCCTACCCTGCAACCAGTTTTGCACCCACTTGACGGTCCTGCAGTTGAACCTGATATCTTCCAGTTTTCTGATCAGTACCTCGTGGGATACCAGGTCAAAGGCTTTCTGGAAGTCGAGGTATATGATGTCAACCACTTTTCTGTCATCCAGGTGTCTTCATAGTGTGGTTGAAATGCCTTCTATATGCCTTCCTTCCTACACGTCTAAACTTGTGAATTCCTCATAAGGCAAGGCAGGACTGAATCCTAATCAGCCTCTGTAGCTGAGGCAGTTCTAGCATCAGGGTCCCCTGATTCTCTTGGTGAGATCTTATGGCACTGTTTTCAGTGCTGGGTTTGTTAATCCATGACAGTAGGGTTCTGTACCTGGACTTTTGGACCTTCCATCCCATGGATGCAGTATGGTTCTTGTAGGTTGGGCAACAATGTTCAGCTAAGGTCAGAGACATTCTTACTGGCAGCCAAAAGACCTCAACTGGGTATATTTACTTGGTAAAATGGACTAGGTTTTTCTTCTGGGTTTGGTTGAAGAACATTAGGCCCATCAGGACCATTCTTGACTATCTTTTGGACCTAAAACATGCAAATGTCTGTCAGGAAGTTGAAATCCATCTGGCAGTTATCTTAGCCTTTCACCCACCTGTCACTGGCTACATGTATTTTCTTACCCAGCAAATCTCTTCTTAGGGACTTGTCCAATGGCTTGTCTTCTAGACTTTTCTCATGTGGACACTCCAGTTCCAGAATGGGACCTGATTTTGGCCTCATGTTGTGGATGAGAATATAATTTGGGCCTATCACAGTGTGTTCTCTCTTGAATCTTTCCAAGAAATTGAATTTCTGGAAGCAGTAATATTAGCAAGATTGGTGGGTGCCCAAGCACTCCTTGGATCTTCCTTATACTATTTTCTACTCAGATAAAGTGACTGTAAGGAGCCATTCAAAATTTCTGTTTAAGGTAGTCTCAGATTTTCATATAGGGTAGCAAATAAGCTTGACTATGTTCTATCCTTATTTATCTGATCCAAGGTTTCACTATATTCACTTGATATTGAAAGCTTTGACCTACTACCTTAAAAGAACCAAGCCATGAAATCTCTATGGCTGGTTTTGGCTGGGAGATTTAAAAATGGAGTCATATTAGCTCAAAGACTAGTCATTGGGTTGTGCAAATTTATGTTGTGAGACTATTGATGTAGATCTGCCTTCTGTGATAAAAAAAAAGTTCATTACACCAAAGTCCAGTTTATTTCCCTGTGTAAGGTGAATCTTAAGGGCTATCACCTGGATCTCCATACATACCTTCACTAAGCATTACAGCAGCATAGAAGCTTTCAGGAGGTTCTGCAGTTGGGGTTTGTCTACAGCAGGGGTGTCAAACTCACCCTGGGCCTCAGGCCAGATCTGTGAGGCTGCATTTGGACAGCAGTGTTGGTGTAGGCCAGGCAACAGAATAGGTCTTGGGGTATGTGGTTGCACAGAGCAGAGATGTAGTGGCATGCATGGTGTGCAGCTCTGGCCAGGTAACAATACAGAGCCAGAGGCATGCAGCAGTGCAGAACCATGTTTGGCTAGAGCTCTGCCCTGCTGCACACTCCTGGTTCCTCATGGGCGCATTCCTGTGGCTCTGCACTGCATGAACATGACAACATGTCACCACACACTCTGGATCCATGCTGCCTCACACCCCAGGTGCTGTTCACCTGCCAGACCTCCGCACCTTCATATAGCAGCATGAAGCCAGAGGCATGCAGCTGCACACCCTCAGCTCTATGCTGCTGCCCAGCAGTGTGGAGCTCTGGTAAGTCAGCAGTATCTGGAGTGTGCAGCAGTGTGGAGCTGAGGGACAGTCCATCAGACTGTAGCCCATTGGACTACCAGTGGACCAAATGCAATGGTTCTGTGGGCTGTATGTTTGACACCCTTGGTCTAGAGGACTTGAAGATCACCTTCAGATACATGGGCAGTGCTTTGGAGCTGAACTTAAATGAGAAGGAAATTCTTCTGAGATGTGTGCGGGCCGGGCGCGACCCGAGCCCTTTTCCGTGCTGCACGCGGGCTGTGGCCAGCAGCCTGGGCACGCTGGGTTGGAGAGGGAGGCCGACGAGCTGGAATTAGGCACAAATGCTTAGCGGTAGTTTTAAAGATTGTTTACTTACACCGAGTTGGCAGTGGTGTAGGCTGGAAAACTTGCTTGAGTTGCGGTTACAGACACAGACAACACAGATGGTCTCATGGAGGTTGCTAGGCTCCACGGAACAGAGCTCCGGATGCTCTGGGTGAACAAGCCACCAAAATCAGAATCGTAGGTACGTCTTATAAAAGTTGCGCTCGAAGACGGGAAGAGGTGGGCGGTGGATCGCCTCTTATACGGCTAACAGGCCAATCGTTAGCCGCCACGTGTGAATAATTTAGAACTAGCCAATAGCGGGGATCGAATTTACATACCGGTGCCGGGAACTCTTTTGCACCGTGCATTCCTCTTGCAACATGAGCAATGCACTCTGCAAAAGAAGCTGCAGAAAAGGCGGGAACCTCATCTCTGCACCGGGGTTTTCCTCTGCAACAGCAAACTCTCCCGTGCAATGAAGCTGCAACTTGGCGGGGATAATTCTGGTGCCGAAGCGCACACAAAATCATGCCTTTGGGTCATGACAAGATGTACTGTCCACAAGCACAGTTAACTACCCTCAACTCTGCAATGAGAAGAAACTGAGAGGCTAGAAGCTGGTATTTTCTTTTTAACCTTTGGGTGCAGTGGCATGAGGAGGAGGGAGACTAGAAAGTGCTCTAAGTCTATTACTAAAGCAAAAAGTTTCTTTGGAGTGAGACAACCCAATTGAGAGAGTCCAGAGGAGAGCCACTCATATGATCGAAGGCCTGGAGGTCAGGCCATACGAGGAGAGGCTGAGGGACTTGGGACTCTTCAGTCTGGAAAAGAGAAGGCTCAGGGGGGACTTGGTGGCAGCCTACAGTTATATAAGAGGAGTGTATCAGGACCTGGGAGAACAGATGTTCACCAGAGCTCCCCAAGGGATAACAAGATCTAATAGCCATACACTCCAGGCAGAATGATTTAGACTAGATATAAGAAAAATGTTTTTTACGGTGCAAGTGTCCAAGATCTGGAACAAATTCCCCCCAGAGGTGATGCAAGCACCTACTCTGGACTCTTTAAAAAAAACATGTGTATGTATTTCTTGCTGGGGTCACTTGATCCCAGCTGACTTCCTGCCTATGGCTGGGGGGGGGGGGGGCCTGCCCCTAATGGCTGGGGGGCTGGACTCGATCTCATGAGGTCTCTTCCAGCCCCTAACATTTATGAAATCTATGAAACCCACAGATGAGAACTTCAATTTTCAAGTGTCTTTATTTTTTGCAGGTGCATTTTTAAACATATAGGTAGATACATGATAAAATGCAGAAATTGTTGTTGGTTCTTTCTATTGTCTAATATTAATTGGTCTTTTTAGACTATTTTCTGTAGTAATGGTATGCTAAGATGCTTATACTATTGGCTGCAGGAAAGGTCTGGATCAGTTTTCTGCATCGTGCTTTTAATTTCTTAAAGAATAATATCCAAAACTTTTCTCTGTTAAGTGCACTAAAATCTTCTGTACTCTGTAGAGAGAAAAGTTAGCCAAGAGTTTTCCAAGAACAGAGAGCATTTGCTTGCAAAGGTGGAAGAAAATCTAAAAGGCCTACAACAAGCACAGGTTTTGGTTTCAGGACAGTTGGGAAAATTTGGATCCAGTGGTGAGTGCAAAGTAAATAACTTATATGTCCAATTAAAGAATGAGTTTGCTGGGGCCTCTGGCACCACCTATAGATAAAATTTTGAACAAAGATGATGTATTGTTTTCTTCAATCTGTGGATATTCAATGTAACTACTGTTTCCTTGTATGTGTAGCTATCCATATGGATGAGATTTAAATTGAGAATTCACCAAGGGAAAAATGGCATTCCCATATAGAAGAATGTTCATTTGTCAAGAGAGATTGATAACGTGTGTTCCATTAACATAACGGGGCATTGTTTTTAAAGGCATTGAAGATTAAATCTATATTTGCTGATTTTCAAAGATTTATGTTTAACCACTCAACATTTTGACAGGGCTTATGGCATCATGGGGCAACATTAAATCTGTGTTGTTGATATTGTGAGGCTTTTAATACCTTTAATTAAAAAAAAAAATTCCAGTAATCCAATATGACACTATTGCCTCTGACTCTCTGGGCAGATCATTGACTAGATCAGGGGTTTTCAACCTTTTTTGCTCAGGATCCCCCTGGCAGCCAGTCTACAAGCAGGGAGTTCCCTGTCAGCCAGTTGACATGCGGGGGGGGAGTCCCCTGCGTGGCAGTAAAACCGGAAGTGCCGTCAGCAAAGCTGGAAGTGCCAGCAGCTTCTCTGTGCCACTGCTGTGTACCCCCTGGCGCCTTCCAAAGTACCCCCAGGGGTACATGTACCCCTGGCTGAAAACCCCTGGTGTAGTTGGTTACCATCATTAAACAATGGATTAGCTGCCTCTGTACCACTGTCCCATTTTTTGTCTTTAAGATTGTCCATTGGGAACTTTGACATTTATTTAGCTATCTACATATGCAACATAGAATCAACAGTTTTCCTTAGGTCAGCTTTTATGGACCAAATAATGATTTAGGAACCTAGAGTTTTTATTCTAAGTCCATTTTATCCTCCCTCTTTCATAGATTCATAGATGTTAGTTTCTTTTTATGACAAGGCCACCAATGGCCTTGTAGGATGCAGGAGTTGAGGTAGATGTTATCTATCTGGACTTCCAGAAGGCCTTTGACACGGTATCTCATACCATCCTTATACATAAACTGAGGAGATTTGCCTTGGATGATTATGTGGTAGACTGGGTAGCAAACTGACTCAAGGGTCACACTCAGAGTGGTGGTGGATGGGTTGGTGTCAACCTGGAAAGATGTGTGCAGTGGAGTCCTTCAGGGCTCAGTTCTGGGGTAATGCTGTTCAACATCTTCATTAGTGATCTGGATGAGGGTGTGGGAAGCACCCTGTTCAAATTCGTGGATGACACAAAAATATGGGGTGAAGCTAACACCCTGGAGAGGAGGAACCAGATCCTGGCTGACCTAGGCAGGTTGGGGAAGTGGGCAGAGAGCAACAGGATGCTATTCAATAAGGACAAGTGCAAGGTACTGCATCTAGGGAGAAAGAACTGCCATCATACCTATAGGCTGGGGGGCGACCTTTTCAGCACCACTGAGGCAGAAAGAGATCTTGGAGTCACTGTTGACTCCAGGATGAACATGAGTCGTCAATGTGATGAAGTAGTCAGCAGAGCCAATCGCACCTTATCGTGCATCCATAGGTGTTTCACAAACAGGAGGTGATTCTCCCTCTCTGTGCGGCACTGGTCAGGCCACAGCTGGAGTATTGTGCCCAGTTCTGGACTCCACAATTCAAGCAGGATGCAGACAACTTGGAAAGGGTCCAAAGAAGAGCCACTCATCTGATTAGAGGCCTGCAGGGAAGGCCCTATGAGGAAAGGCTAAGGGACCTTAAACTCTTCAGCCTCTCCAAGAGAAGTCTGAGAGGGGACCTTGTGGCAGCGTACAAATTCATATGGGGAGAGCAACATGAAGTAGGCGATGATCTGTTTACCAGGACACCCCCTGGAACAACAAGGAACAATGGCTATAAGCTACTGGAGAGAAGGTTTAGACTGGACATTAGAAAAAAGCTCTTCATGGGCAGGGTTGCCAGGATCTGGAATGGGCTTCCAAGGGATGTGGTGCTCGCCCCATGCTTGGGGGTCTTCAAGAGGAGACTGGACAGGCACCTGGCTGGGTTCACATGACCCCAATTTTGGTGACCCTTTTCTTGCCTGCCAGGGGCAGGGGGTCAGACTAGATGGCCCACTGAGGTCCTGTCTAACCCTAGAATCTATTAATCTGACATTCAAGAGAGAACCTCAGAGTGAAGGTCATATACTGGCCAGATGTACCTTGACTCTGTGAACCCTAGGACTGGTAGATATAGAATTGTTTGCATTATTCTTATCTGCTATCAGTGTATATCAGTAAAATTTGCCTATTATCGAAGGGTGGGGTCGTGGTTGGTCTGAGGGTTTGGGTCCACCCTGAACAAGGTATCTGGGTCATAAATCCAGTGCCAACACTTCTGAGGAAGGTGAAAAAAACACCCAGACACTAAGAATCAAACTTGGGCCTCACAAGTGACCAGCAATGTTCATAAGCATAGAATTAACCAGACACCCTCCAAAATACAAGTGCAACCTCGGGACTACAAACACAACCCTATACATTGCACATCATATAGCTGTCCTCCAGGTCTGGAACTCCTATTCTCCAAACTTATAGAACAAGCAGAAATGTTTTCACTAGAGATTCTTGAATATTCAGTTAAGATAAAGTATCCCTGTAGCAACCAAATTGAAGAAATTCCTGTACCCTGGAAGCACATAGGCAAAGTCTATGCCAAGAGGTTCAAGAAAGATGCAAAGCATCTCTTTTCTCAACAAACTTTTTTTTTTACCAACAATGTGTCAGCTGTGAGCTTCTGCAACTTTTCTGATATCAATGAGGCATTTGCTGCTAGTGACTTCAGCTCACCCCTCATTCTGGACTTCAGCTCACCCCTCATGGGGGGACCCCTGCCAGGCCCTATCCCCTGCCTGCTCCCCAGTCCTCACGAGTGCCCTTCTGACCCCTGCCTGCCCGGCCCCAGCATCCCAGCACTTAGAAAAAAAAAAAAAAAAAAGCCAGCTCCTGCCAAGTGGGGAGGCCATCCCTGCTGTCCCCCACTGCCCTACATTGCATGGGGGACTCTGTTATGAGCCCTCATCCCCTGCCCACTCTCTCAGCCCCGTCAATGGCTGCCCCGCCTGGCCCCAGCCCCCCTGGCCCCAGTGGCCCAGCTCTTAAAAAAAAAAAAAAAAAAAAGCCCTGCACTCACTGGCTGCTGCAGCAACTGTTAGGGCTTCTGAGGGCTTGTGGCAGAGTCCCCCAAGCAGCGCTGGGCAGTGGAGTGCAGCGAGGATCGCCACCCTGCCTGGCAGCAGCCAGTGAATGTAGGGCTTTAAAAAAAAAAAAAAAGAGCCAGGACACTGGGGCTGGCCCTGGCAGCCATTGACCAGGCTGGGAGAGTGGGCGGGGGATGTGGCCTGTTTGATTCGGAGATTTGGCCAATTCGGCGGCAACTGAATACTCGAATCAGATTCGGCTGAATTGATTCAGGACAGTGATTCGAATCACTGAATCGAATCACTGTCCCCCCAAATCAGCTGAATCCAAATACAAAGCAAATACTAGCCATTTTGCACAGGCCTATTAGGTAGTCCTATACTGACACACACAATACTGTACTGCATTTGGTACCTCTTGAACTGGAAGTCATGTAGCCAGATTTGCATGGTGCTGCACCCAGGCTCATTAGCTCTCCTAGGAAGTAGAGCAAATTAACCCACTTTTAGCATCTTGCTTAAAACCCTATGTATCACTTGGGTTTTCATTGTTTGTGTAGAGAGACATTTCGGGGCAAAAACAATTGAAGTGTAGGACATGCTATGAGATGGTTTCTTATAAGATGGAGCTCAAGGCCATCCATCACTTAATGCAGTTACTGACTCATCCTTACAGTATCTGACGTTAGATTTTTGAGGACAGCCATTCTTATCAGGCCTCCAGTATGCAGGTTCCATTCATGTAAGGCATTCCAGACTCTACACATATTCAACATTTAAATACTGTCATTCTCATCTCTGCTGGTTTAATATTTGGTACAAGGAAATTATGGAACAGGGTATCCTTGTTATGCTTAGGTTTCTTTTCAGGTCTTAATGGGTAAATTTAATCCTCCTTCCCTTAATAATTTACTGTTTTTTCCTATCTCTTTGTGAAGGGATGTATAATGGGGAAGACTTAAAAAAACCAAACAAATGCATCTTGTGACTGTTCAGTCTAGGACCCTCCATGTCAGTCTGTGTCATCCATCCTCAGAAGACTGTGCTTTCTCCAGGGCTTTTTCTCTTGCTGTTCTTTTCTTAGGCTAAGTACTGTGACAAATGCTTGGCATGGAAAGTCCTAAAATTAAATTTCATGTATAAGAGTGTCACGGCGGGGTCCGCCAGGAGGGCCGTGATCTCCTTATGGCCCCCTCACCGTGCCAAGTCGATCCAAGGGCACCCTCAAATTCTCGCCCGCCATGTCTTCGATGGTTAGATAAAGTTGGGAGGCTGCCTTACGACTCCCTGGGCACGGTTAGCTGGGAACTCTGTCCCTGTGTGTTCCACGATCCCCTGGGGGCTCTCCCGGTATGATGGGTGGTACCCAGGCAGCCCACTATAGATATAGATACATATATATATATATAGATATATATATACATACATACACACACTGCCCGTCTCTCGGGCCTCCTCTACGTACTCTCGCCGCCTCTCTGAGGCCTCCTCTGTTGTGTTGCCCTCTGTTGGGCTCTCCGAGCCCACTCAGGGCCTCCCTGTGATGTTGCCCCTTTCTGGGGCCTTCTCTATAGTGTTGCCCCCTGTCTGGGGCCTTTACAATAGTGCCCCCTCCTGGGGCTTTTCCTACAATGTCGCCCGAACTTGGGCTTCTAAAATACAGCCCCCCCCGTCTGGGGCTCTCTGCGCCCACTCTGGGGACTTCTTGGTAACGCCGCCTGATTCTCGGGCCCACCGCGCTGCTACCCCCTTCTCCCAGGGCTCACCGTGCCACTACCCCCT